TTAAATTATTTAAATCGGTGGAAAAAAAAAAGACATTAGTTGCTCTTGTTTGTTCTTTATTAATACGATTACAAAAAAAAATAGTTACTAGTAGTACTACTTTACAAATAATAGCCATCGCTGGACGGCAAAAGAGACAATGCGTTAGGCAGTTACATTTAACAACAACCATTAAATAATGATTTGAATATCACGTTGGCCAATTTTTAAAAGTTGATTAATTAGGCTTACATGGATGGTAGGCGGAAGATGACTCTGACGCATGGTGGTGGTGGGTCATGAGTGGGATCCATCTACCTTTTTTTCTTATTTTAAATTTCTGCCTTGCGTTTCCTTATGCACATGGCGATGTCGTTGTCTGTGACGGCTTCGAGTCGAGTCGAGTCGAGTCTCGCCTCTCGCCTCTCGCCGTGACGGTGGCCTAAACGCGTCCTTGATTAAACGCGCTAACCGCCAAGGAATCTGATTTATCTTTCTAAGACAGGGACCACTAGACGCCCCTCGTAGCCCTCGTGGGCCGACGTTTTTGACTTTGCCGGGGTTACTGTGCGTCACGGCTCTTGCATGTCGTCTCTTTTCCACTTTTTACAATCAAGTTGAGCTTAATATTATCCAGCCTTTTTATTTTTTTATTTGAAAAGTTAATTACATATTTATTTGAATATTTGGTGGAGGGACAAATAATTTTGTAGGCCCCTGTCAATTAGAAAATAGGGTTTTTTTTTTTTTTCTTTTTTGATTGAACAAAATTTAACGCCACCTTAAAGTTTGATTTATTTAGGTGGGATTAGGAAATGAATTTTAAAGTGAGGAGGTTCGCTTTATATCAATATCATCTTTCTTTAAATTTTATATCTTTTCCTTTTTCCTCTGCCATCCAATGAAGGAAAGCTGATGTTCACAACTCTTTTAGAGCATGGGCCTTCTAGGCTTTTTCTTTTTATTAGAAAATAGGTTTGAACAAGGTGGCTGAAGGGTATCAAGCACATGACAAAGAACTATATCTATCATCCTTTTGAATACTGCTATGGTTCTTTAGATACTACTAGTTCCAAATGTGAAAGTACCATTCAAAGGTCCTAAAAGGTAGAAACTTTAGACTTTTCTACACCACCTTCTTCTAAAGTTTGTGTTGGTCCAGTAGGGAGATTACCTAAACCCCATGTCATTGAATATGATCTACTTATTAAAACCCCATGTCATTCAATATGATCTACTAATTAAGGCAATTCAATTATTAGGCCCAAAGTTCAGGAAGTAGCTCAGCTGGCATGTCCCATATCTGTACAAAAAAAAAAAAAAAATGTAAATTTCCCATATCAAGGACCACCATGTGCTCACGACAGGACGGTTATCTACCACCCATGTCACATTTGAGCTATGATGCATCTTAAAGTCGAGGATTTGCAACCAACTGATCATTCTTGTTTGAAAATTTTATTGACCCTTTTGTCGGCGGGTTAGGTATTCCCTTGGACTTTATTCATTTCATTTGCCATCTGATCTGTGACCAAATTTGTTCCCAATATAGGCCCACATACAGTGTTTACTAAGAAATCTAATGACATTGATTGAGATTAGAAGATTTCCCATAATAGTAGTAACGGGCTAAATGTTTCCTGAGAAACCTGTAGAAGAGTACTTTTTGCAATGCTGTTGAGAAACTTGAGATGGCTACTGAATCTATGGAATACAGCAAGGCATTGAAATGTTGACTTGTGAGGTGGATGCAGTTAATATGGTGCTTTAAATGGGGTAGAAATAGACTAGGCAGCTAAGCTATCAATCAATGAGGCCATGCATCATACACTATGATTTCTTGGTAGCAATCTGCTTCTAATGCTTCAGCATGCTTACAACTATAATAAATGTGACAGTTGTCTTATTAAAGAACCTAGCTTAATTCATTATTTCATTGCTTGCATTGTGCTGAAAGTGACCCATCAGGATGGTACTGACTAACAGGCAAGCTGGTCCCTTGTCCCTTAACATTCTAGTATTTGGCCTTCAAAATTCTGTCCCAGAATGAATTCCATTTTGTTATAATTTCAGAATATATAGCTGTAGCTTCGATGTCTTCCTTGAATTATGACAGATTCATAAAACTGAATTTTTGCAGGCAGGAAACTTGTCTAAGTAATGGAATTGCTTAAAAATTTCTGTAAACACTTTATATTGTGCCTTAAAGATAGAGGGATGAATATGTTGATAACGACCTTATCATTTTCAGGAGACAGTGGGAGGAGGAATGCTCTAATCATAGCCATAACGGTTGGCATTGGCATTTTGCTTTTAGGAGGAGTTGCCTTTTTCATATGGAAGAGGAAGAGATTGCAAAGAAAAAGAAAACCAGGACAGAAAGGTAACTTGAGAAAAAAATGAAAGCATTTATACACCAGTATACTTCATGGTTTTTCAGTTTTAAAGCTTTATCTTTCTATTCTATAGGCCTTCATGAAAGAAGCCAAGATTTTCTATTGAATGAGGTGGTTATCTCAAGCAAGAGAGAGTACTCGGGTGAAAAATCAGACGAGCTAGAATTGCCACTGTTTGATTTTGATTCCTTAGCAAAAGCCACAGACAACTTTTCTGAAGAAAACAAACTTGGACAAGGTGGTTTTGGTTGCGTTTACAAGGTAAATTCAATACTAAACACACTAAAATAGTCTCAAATACACGTTATAGTTTATAAGCGTGACAGTTACATATGTCTCAATGACAGGGTGGACTGGTTGAGGGTCAAGAAATAGCAGTAAAAAGGCTCTCAAAGAACTCCGGGCAAGGAGTTGAAGAATTCAAGAATGAGGTTAGATTGATTGCAAGGCTTCAACACAGGAATCTTGTCCGGCTTCTTGGTTGCTGCATTGACATGGATGAGAAGATGCTAATTTATGAGTACATGGAAAACAAAAGTCTGGATTCTGTTTTATTCAGTGAGTACCTCTAATTTCTGTTGCAGCTAAATGAACTCTTCTCGGTTAAAAAAATATGACTAAGGCTAACTGTCTGGATTCATGGCATTCTCAAAACTTGCTGTAGATAAGGAAAGAAGCTCCTTGCTGACTTGGAAAAGGCGGTTTAACATCATTTGTGGGATTGCTCGAGGACTTCTTTATCTTCACTATGACTCCAGATTTAGAATAATCCACAGAGATCTAAAGGCAAGCAATATTTTGCTTGATGGAGAAATGAACCCAAAAATTTCAGATTTTGGCATGGCTAGAATTTTTGGCAATGATCAAAATGAAGCAAATACAAAGAGAGTGGTTGGAACCTAGTAAGCACCATAAACTTGACATCTCTACTTTGCTTCGAAAGCTAAACTATAAACTACTAATCTTGTTATCTTATTGGTTACGTCAGCGGATATATGTCTCCTGAATATGCAATGGATGGACTCTTCTCAACTAAATCAGATGTTTTCAGCTTCGGTGTTCTTGTATTGGAGATTGTCAGTGGTAAGAAGAATCGAGGATTTTATCACTCAAACAGTGAACTAAACCTTCTTGGCCATGTAAGCACAAGAATATGTTGTACTTCTCAAATCTCAATAGTCATATTCTTGAACATGATAAGCTATTGATTCTGACCAGAATACTAACGAAATTCACATCATTGCAGGCATGGAGATTGTGGAAGGAAGGGAAGGGATTGGAATTAATAGATCCTGTAGTAGGTAGTTCATACGCGGATCAAGAAGTGATGAGATGCATCCAGGTTGGGCTTCTGTGTGTGCAAGAGAGTGCAGAAGACCGGCCAACAATGCATACTGTGGTTTTGATGCTGAGCAGTGAAACAGCAACAATGCCTCAACCTAAAACACCCGGGTTTTGCCTGGGAAGAAGTGCTGTTGAAACTGATTCATCTTCAAGCAAGCAAGAAGATCAAACATTCACCGTGAACCAGGTCACCGTTACAATGTTAGATGCTAGATAGTGAAAGAAAACACCTGATCTAGTACATTTGTACATCACAAAAGTTTCTAAATTTGTATATTTTCTGCCACCGCGTTTGCTGCCATTTGTACTGCAGCTTTGAGTACTCTTCAGACCTTTTTGTTCCTTTTTTTCCTTTTTGTCGGCATCAAGTCCTTTTTGTTCTAATTTGAAAAAGAAAAAAAAAAAGCCTTCCTTTATATATGGTTAAGGCAATTTTTTAATCATAGCTTCTTCCACGTTTGAAAATTATAAAAATTAAACATATAAATTTTAATATAATGTTTACTTCTTCTTTTTTAACAGTAAAAAATTGTTAGATTAATATTAGTATCTATTTTTAATATTTAGAAGAACTTGAACGAGTGATTTTCACCTGCTTTTTATGAAAAAACGTAGTTTAACTAGTGAATTCCATGAAAAAATCTTAATATAATTTTTACATTTAAATTTACATACAAATTCAATATACATTTCAAAAGTCAAATCTTATATTATATCATAGATATAAGAAAACTTGTACACAAAAGTACTTTTAAGTTTTGTAACGTGTAGCTTGGATCGTCACTTGACAGAACAAATTAACAATAAAATAGAAGGAAAACATCCTTGGCGGCTGCGAAAGCCTTGGAAAGAAATGCCAGATGGCAGTCATGCTTGGGTGCAGCACGATTTCCACGGATGCATCTCTATGCTTCCGTACCAGAAAAGCTTGGAATTGCTGTAAAGTGGCCTTTTTTGTTAGCAGAAATTTCTTCAGGCACAGATTAATCTTCCAGTGGAAAAGGTACACAAGCAAGGAAGTTACTTTCCCAACTTTAGGTGGGTAGTAGGTTCCAACCTTTTTGTATCGTACTTCTCCCTTGTACTACATTTCCGAGAAATCGAAAGGAATTGCTCATCATTTTCTTGCGGAAAGTTTTTGTACTTTGGTTAAACAGGATGAAATTTCAGGACTATACTCTATGGTGACGTTTTACGTACTTCATTGGTAGGGGAATAATATGGCCTAACCTCAAACAAAAGAGGCAATGCATCACTGACTGCCTTTCTCCATAGCAACAATGGGATTTTTCCCCCCTCCCCCCAAACTTTATTCTCACCTGAATTTTTGCCCCGTCTGTGAATTTTAATCCTGATTTTGTCCCTCAAACTTTTTACAGCGCCATGAAAATAAACTAAGGTTAACTGTTGCCGTTAAGTCCCACCCACCCGGAATTTTTTAATTGAAGTCTCAATGTTTTAAGTGTTGCTGCGAAATTTTGGATGACATGTACTCAAAATTGAATAGATGGCCAAGTTAAAGAAAATTGAGGTTAAATATTAGTTTTAGTTTTTTAACTTTAAAATTTTGTATAATTTTTGTTTTTTAACTTTTTATGCACATTTTTTTGGATCTTTGACTAAGAAAAATATATATTTTTTATTTTTTTTATTAATTAATTTGTTAAATTTATCCATATATATTTTTAGTCTCTTAATTTTAAGGGATAAAAAATATAAATATATTAAAAATTAAGGGACTCAAAATATATAAATTTAAATAAATTTAATGGATTAACTAAAAAAAATTAAAAAAACATATTTTTTATAATTAAAAAATAAAAAAAATAAAAAAATAAAAATTGACATTTACCATAAATTGATTAGATGGCACTAGTGCATGCTTACTTGGAATATTCTTAGTTGAGACGATATTCTTGATAAAAGAAGTTTTTGTAGGGCCGATTTATATTTTATTAAATGAATTTATTTATATAGTATCATAAGTTTAATTATTAAATAAAATTTATTATTAAATAATACATAAAATTATATCAAAGTTATCTTTAAATTATTTTTTATTCTTAAAGGGTCTATTATTTTTTAAAGTTATAAAAGCTTTTTTTTTTTCTCCTCCTCCTATTACTCCTTCAATCTCTCTCCAAAGTTTCCAGAAAGTTTCAAGAGTGTTTCAGAAGGCAATTTCCAAACCGTCAACCTAAAATCTGAAGGCAATTCCCAAAGAGCAAGGTATTCTTTTTCCTAGTAAAATAAGAGTTCAGTTCATATTGCTAAACACTAGTTATCTAAAGAAGGGATTAGCAAGGGATTTCTTTAATGTTTCTGACTGCAGAACAATTCTTGGATTTCAAAATAGGGAGGAAAACATGTTTCCCCTCATTTTTACCATTTGAATTGATTTGAATTGATGCAGCATGAGGGCTAAAACCCCAAATTTCGTCTAATTCAACAAAATGCTTGATGGTTTTCCCTAATGGTGCGGAGACTTTTGTAGGATTTTCTTTTCTGTATTTAATGTGATAACTGGGATAGCTGCAAATCCTGACAAAAACCAATGTGGCCTTGCCTGACTCGGCAACCATTAGTGGAGGGATGGACGATTACAGTCAAGGGCACTCCTTTTTCAATCAGTCCCTATCTGCCTCGTTGGCTCCTCTCCGACGAAAACAATTATCTTCAAAGTAACCATCTTGTTGCAGAATCGTTAATTGGGAATTTTTCGTACTGCTTAGATTTTAGATAACGGATTAGTGTTTTTACATTCTCTGCCCTCGTTTATGCATTGTTCTTTGAAAGTTGCCAGATTTTACTAAAGTCTAAACTCTTAAAAGTCTTCAGTTCCTGTTTCTGGGCTGTCAACAGTACCTTGACGGCTGGCCTAGAACTTGGCTTCTTTAGTCAGGGGGAGTTCATGTTAGAATTATTGGAGAAGGGCTGTTCTCAAGAGACAACCGAGGAATTGGGAAATTTAACCCTGCAGAACCTCAACCTTATGGGACATGAAAGTAAACAAATTTGCATCATCCCCACTTCTTTTTCTAGCAAGCTTGAAAATTGCCGTTTTTTGTTTGGGGTTTCAACTTTCAAGATGTCAAATTACCAACCCACCAAACTTTAGGTAAAACTTTTAGAAATTTCTATCTGATCCCAAATTTACATGCTTTTATATTATTTACAGAACTTTTAAATTCACTTTTAAAAAAGATAAATTGAAATAGATTCATCTTAAAAAAATGGAAAAAAATAAATTCATCTTAAAAAATTATAGAGATAAATTACTTTTTTAAATTATAAATCAAAATCAATCACTTTTTTTAATGGATTTTATTTGCCACGTAATAATTTTTTAACGAAAAATTAATAGAATTTGTTAAAAAATGATGATTTATCTTGATTTATAATTTTGATTTTTAAGAGATAATTTATTCCTACGTTTCTTTGAGCGGGTGAATCTGTTCTACCCATTTTTTTAAGAGTGGATGCAGGGGTTTTGCCTATATACATTTAGTCCAATGCTATTTCCACGAGTTTGTTGAAAGTTGAAACAATTATCTTCAAAATAAAGTCAGAAGTAACAATTATCTTCAAAATAAAGTCAGAAGTACAATATGTGGCTCTTCTGCTACTCTTATCTGTCTTCCAGACACCGTACGCACCAGGTCATTGCCTCTTTGATTGGGAGGATATATCCAGATCATGAAAACTGCAAAGGTAAAACTCAAAACTGACATAATAGGGCTGAACTGACCCTTGTGTTCTCCTATTTCTGAATGGCCTGGTTCAAAAATGCCTATGGAGCAGTGACTTTGACTCTTATCTAGCTCCTACATGCGGCTTGTGTTTACATACGTATTATGTTTCCTATTGCTACTATTATCAAGTTTTCATTAACATCATATTCGAGCCGCCATGATTGACTCTTCGGTCCTATATGCGGCTTTATTACATGAGTATTACATTTCCAATTGCTATTGTTATCAAGTTTTCTTTAACATCACGTTGGAGCTGCCATGATTGAGAATCATCTTCATCCATGGCGGTTATCTTCTCTTTTTTCCTAATTTTTGGGTTTCTCTCTTTGGAATCCTCTGAGGCAACTGACACCCTATTGCCAAACCAAACCATTATAGACAATGGTGAAAATCTCGTTTCCTTGGGACAAAATTTTGAGTTGGGATTTTTCAGTCCTTGGAATTCTAGCAACCGGTATGTTGGAATCTGGTTCAAGAATATCTCACCGCAAACGGTTGTTTGGGTGGCCAACAGGAATAGTCCTCTCACTGATTCATCAGGCAGCCTTTCTATAGCAGCTACTGGGAACATCTTTATTGTCGGGAACCAATCAACTATCCCCATTTGGTCTTCTAATTCATCCACTCCTAACAATTTTGTTTTGCAACTTTTGGACACAGGGAATCTTGTTGTTAAGGATGCTGAAAGTAGCAGCTTCTTCTGGCAGAGCTTTGATCATCCATGTGACACCATTATTCCAGGCATGAAGTTTGGATGGAACCTGTTAACAAATCAGAGCTGGTTCTTGACTTCATGGAAGAGTCTGGAAGATCCATCCATTGGAGAATACAACCACAAGCTAGAAATTCAAGGCCTTCCACAGTTTGTTATCCGAAGAGGATCTGATATAGTTTACCGGAGTGGTCCTTGGGATGGTAACCGATTTGGTCTCTTACAAGTTGAAGAAAAAACAGTCACCAATTCTTTCTTCATCGTCAACTCAACTTTTGTCTACTATTCATTTGAAGACAAGGGCGACAGGATTTCAAGATATGTATTAAACCAGTCAGGATCAAGTCAGCTTCTTACATGGAATGCTTGGCGTGGGGAGTGGATTGCTATATTCACTTTGCAGAGAGATCAGTGTGATGAATATGGCTTCTGTGGTCCTTATGGCCTTTGCAATGTGAACATGGAACCACATTGCAGATGCTTATCAGGGTTTGATCCAAAAATACCACGTGACTGGAATACTTTTGATTGGTTTGGAGGATGCATTCCGAGGACTCCATTGAATTGTAGCAAGGATAATGGATATGGATTCAAGAAGTTTTCCATGTTGAAGTTGCCAGACAATTCACGGTTGTGGTCAAATAGGACAGATATGACTCAAACAGACTGCAATCAGGCTTGCTTGAGAAACTGTTCCTGTGTAGCTTACGCTATAACTGATGTTTGCAGATGTGTGATGTGGTTTGGGAGCTTGCTTGACATGAGAGAGTACAATAAAGGTGGGAACGATTTGTATGTCAAAATGGATGCTTCTGAACTTGGTAAGTATATTAACAGAATCTAAGTTCTTTGCATAAGATGAATGGAATTTAGTTTTGTAGTTTTAAGAAGAATGACATTTATGTTTTGATAATTAAAGGATCTGAAAGCAAGGCCAGATGGGGGACACTGATCATCACCGTCCCTGCAGTTTTAGGGGTCCTGTTGCTGGGTTCAATAAGCTATTATTTGATAACGGGATATAAGAGGAGAAAAGGTAATATTAAGGATTCTTGGTATAAGTGTCCAGAGTCTAATGCTCCTCTGTTGTTTGATAAATTGATAAATCTTGGATGCAAATTTAGATGTGTGTCGTTTCCTACTTTGACAGTAAAAAGAGAAAATGATCCCGATCAAGATGTCCAGCCCACTATGGGTGAGGAAGAAGTAGACCTGCCTTCATTTGATTTGGTTGCTATTGCAACTGCCACTAACGACTTTTCTGTAGAAAACAAGGTTGGAGAAGGTGGTTTTGGTCATGTTTACAAGGTAATACTACTTCCTTCCTATCTACAAAATTTGAGTTCACTGTGCAAACTTTGACTTTGCTTTCCTACTTTGTCACCTGATATGAAATCTTAATAAACTACAGGGAGTGCTCCCAACAGGGAAAGAAATAGCAGTAAAAAGGCTTGCAAAAGATTCAGGACAAGGACTTCAAGAGCTCAAGAATGAGGTTATCTTCATTGCAAAACTTCAGCACAGAAATCTTGTTCGACTCTTGGGTTGTTGTATCCACCAAGATGAAAAGATGCTGGTCTATGAATATATGCCCAACAGAAGTTTGGACTTGTATCTATTCAGTTAGTTCCCTTGAACAAGATTCTCACTTTTCACATATAGCTACTTTTTGCTGTACTTAAAATTTTATCAAATGATGCAGATCAAACATGTGGTGTTTCACTTGACTGGCAGAAGCGCTTTGACATCATAGTAGGGATTGCTAGAGGACTTCTTTATCTTCATCGAGACTCAAGGCTGAGAATCATTCATAGGGATCTTAAAGCTAGCAACATTCTCTTGGATAGTGAAATGAATCCCAGAATATCTGATTTTGGCTTGGCAAGAATGTTCAGAGGCGATCAATCTGAAGCAAGTACAAAAAGGGTAGTTGGTACATAGTAAGTATAAAAATAACTGTCACTCGTTCTCTCTTTGCAATACATGGGGCACAGCCGAGACACATTTATATATCTACTCACACAAGCCTCATGTTCCATGGCTTTTTATGATTTGTTTGTGTAGTGGTTACATGCCTCCTGAGTATGCAATAGATGGACTCTTCTCAGTTAAATCAGATGTCTTTAGTTTTGGAGTATTGGTGTTAGAGATCATAAGTGGGAAGAGGAACAGAGGATTTTACCATCCTGACCATGACCTTAACCTCATAGGACATGTGAGTTTACAACTTGTATCTCTTACTTTTCCACTTAAAACCAAACTCCATTTTTCTCATGGAATTATCTGAATTATTTTAGGCATCGAATCTTTGGAATGAAGACCAGGCATTGCAGCTGGTGGATGTTCTCATTGAGAAATCAATTGTCAAATCCGAGGTTTTGAGGTGCATACAGGTAGGACTCTTGTGTGTGCAAGAACGTTCTGAAGACAGGCCTTCAATGTCTTCAGTTTTGTTGATGCTGGACAGTGAGCAACTTCCATTGCCACAACCTAAACAACCCGGATTTTACACAGGTAGGATCACTAACGAAAGTAACTCTTCATCAATTAGAGGGCAAACGCAATCAAGAAATGAAGTGACTATAACAATGCTACAGGGTAGATAGAAGCCTTGGTGATTGAGTATATACCTGCATATTTTGTCAGTACTCTTTTTCGCAACGAATGTGTAGCTTCATACATTCAACTCTTTCTTGTAAATCATTTAAGTTTAAAATATATCTTAAAAGAAATTTCTTGACCTGACCTTGACGAGTTGACGTTTCAAATTAATGCATCTCTGCACATGTGAATCCATGTACATATTGTGTGGCGCTGAACTTGGATGAGAA